AAAGATGTAGATGGAGGATCTACCAGCATTTTGGATATCACGCGAGATCCAGTCGTATTCTAATAAGATTCGCATATGACTTATCACGCTTATAGGCGTACGGAGATTAAGTTCAATTCTAAGCTGAGATTAAAAATGGTTTTATTTAACGAAAAGAGAGTGAATTGAACGGAGAGTGGTGTAAAATTCCGTTTGGTTTATTGTAATATCTGCTGAAGGTAAGCAAGACTCGACCAATTGCTCGTGACTCAAGGTCCTTGACCAAATATACTCACGAATCCTCACGTTTTCTTTATTTTCATTAAACGACCTCGGAAGCTGATTATCTGTCATTTTGCTTATTTGTTGTTCTTATTTTATATCGGTTACAAGAAGTTGTGGTCTTAATTTTGGTCTTTGTATATGTATATTTCGTTCGATGTTCAGTAGGGTTAGCGATTTATTTATAAAAATAATGAATGATATTATTCTTAATGACGTTATTGTAACAATTGTCATTTTAATGTTTTTGTTTGAAGTATTTGTGAGTGTTTGTTTTTGATATTCATTGATTATCAGTAGTATTGTCTTCTTTGATGATGTGTTATTAATTGTAAGATATCAGTCAGTATTTGATAATGTTATTTGATTATTATTCATGTTCTTAGTATTGTTATGTCGAAGTTGTATTTGTAATTTTTCATTTTATTGATAGTATTTGTGTTTGGAACAAGAGTTGTGTGTAGGTGTATTAACATTGTGATATAAGAACGTTTTATTTGGTCTGTATTACCGGTATCAGGCGAATATTGTTTGCCTTTCCATGAAGTTATGCTACTTGAGATGGTGTAATTCTTCTCCAGATTGTGTTTTTCTTGTTATTCGTTACTTTTGATCACTTCGATGTTAATGATTCGTTGACTGATTGGATAATAGCGTTTTGAAGAAGTTTCCGAATGAACTCTAGTTAGGGGTTGGTTCGGTGTTTTGGTTTGCTTTCTGTTATTTTGTTGGGAGATTAGTCAATTACTGCTAAAGTTGAGGGAATATTATCGTTTCAATTGGTTAAATTGACTTAATTCATTGGATATGAGATTGTCTTCGATTGAAGTATTGATAAGGATTATGAATATTGCCCGGAAACTCTTTATGCGGTAATTCATTTGAAATAGAGGAATGTACTAGATGCGCTGTAATTCAATCACATATTTCGAGTTTGTTATGTTTCAAGTTTCGTGTTGAATATTTGTTATAAGCGTTCAAGTTGAACAAGACGTCAATACTGCGTATTGAAGGATTAATTGATAAAATAAAATTATTCATTATATCTTTGCCGTTTCAATTGTCGTATGTGTTTTTGCTTGCTAAATGCAGAAAATAATCTTAGAGGTAAATGAAAACCAAAAATATATTGTTGATTGATTAGTGCCATAAGAAGTTTCACTCTTCGGATCTTCCATTGAGTCTCTTTATTGATCTTTGAAATGCGGCGGTTTTTTAGTTCTGTGTAAATCCGTATTATAAGGTGAGTAATTTAAAAATGGGTGAAGGATACATTTCGATTTTAGGTCGTTTGCGGCCACCAAACTAATATAAGTGCTCACAATCAGAAAAATGCTAACGAATAGGACGTTTGCCGTGATATTGTTAACGAGTAAACGTGCGATCTGCACAACGCCATTGCTGTTGGGTCGTTGTTCAGTTGGATTCCCTCAAGCGACCGTACAGTTCCAGAAATCCTTTCAATTCACACAATTATCATCGTTACACTCATCAGGTTGTTAAATCAATCAGAAATTCTTTCGTTTTATTATCATTTAATCAAAAGAATTAACAATGATTCGAGGAGTAAGCAGTATATGATGTTGTGGAGAAACTCTTTGATAGGTGCGATTTCTGCCTGTATAGAGAAATCTGATGTATAGATTTCGACTGGTGAAATTCTGATCGTATCATATAGAAAGTCGTCCAGTTACTGCAAAAGTAGCATTGTGGGTCATTCACGATTAGGCTTGATGTTAGTGATTTCAAGAGTTCCAGTAGGCCATACATTTTTTTAAAAGTTCCAGCTCGTTTATTTGTTCGAGGACGAAATGAAAACGCAGAAGATGAGGGAAGGGATGAAACAAAGTTCAATGGCTCAGAAGGCTCGTCTTCGCAAGGACAACAACAGAAATCGCCCTTCAACGACCCTAAATTCGGTTGGTTAAATTGATGTAATCTGAAGTCTCGAGTCAGAACCGATGCTGTTGTCAATGCGGTTTATAATTCATTCAGTTTTGAGAAAACTCCATCCCAAACCAGAAGTTTTCACGAAGGATCTTATTTGAAGTGGACGAAAGTTGGTGATATAAGGTGCAATTATTGATTTCGGAATCAGAAACTTTTTGAGTTCAGATTTTGCTGTGTATCTCTGAATTTTACAAGCAGTGACATAAATGTAAGTAAATGTAACAAAGGATAAAAATACAATTTTAGAAAATGTAATAACAGTAACAGTACTAATAGAAATGAGAAAATGAAGAAGTGAAATGAGATTTCAAATGTTCAGTTCGTCGAATGCGAGTGTATATGCTCATAGTGGGTGGATGTACATTCCTAGTATCGTATGTCATTATGAAACCGCTTTTCTCGCAGCAGTTCCCGACTAAGCTCGGTGCTGATATTAATGCGCCACCGCTGGAGATGGAGGAATTCCTCAACACCTATATACCGTCAGGAGAGGTTTGTCTGATCGTGAGCGTATTATTTGAACATGAGATGTTTTGATGGTTTCGAGTAACGCAATTCGATTTGACTAAGGTAGAAAGCAGTAATATTTTCAAGTGATAACATTGAGAGCGTAGTGGAAATCTTCAGTTTGAGAGAAATATCGCTGATTATTAGGTTTGAAAATATGACATTGATTCAACAGATTGTTTTCGCTGTTCAGAAGATAGGAGTTTTTTTTGGTGAGTTGAGATATTGGCTGTTATGTGATAGTGGAAGATTTGAGTCGTTCGAAACATTTAGAAAGTTCGACAGGGAAATTTTTTAAGTTTGATTTTTAGTTGACAAATGTGGTAGTCGCTCCTTGAAGTGGTTGAAATATTCTTCTTCAAATATTTTTCAAGAGCAATTTTTGAAATAATGAAATTTTCGTTCAGGTGAAGCGTTTAGTTCATTTTCCGAAGCAAGAGAAGGCCGTAGCGTGGCTGCATGATGATGCGATAATTAATGGACAACCGGTAAATACTCTCTTATATCGTAGTATATTGAGTTTGAAGCTTTCGAGATGTCTTAACGCAGTTCAACAATTTCATTGAGAAATGAAACTGATGAATTTGGCTTGGAATGGAATCCGAAGAGATGAAGTAATTGAAAGATTTTTTGGGGATTTCTGTGAGCTTTTATGAGCTATTTGATTCAGTTAAAACATTAAAGGATTTTCATATACACATTTTTTAGGCGAATCATTCATTTGTTGTTGTCAAATATGAACGTGTTGATGGAGTACCGCCGGAACATTTCCGTGAGGAAATAAGAGCGAAGGAGAAAGAACTCGGTATTCCGTTACAGAACGCTATTAATGTGGAGGAATATTATGGGTTTTCGAACTTTAGGTGAGTTTTGCAATTGAATTTCAAATGTTACACATCTGATCAAACAAATCTATTCGTCATATGGAAAAGTTTATGTTAGTGGCATAATCGTGAGCTGTATATGTATCAGTCAAATTTTCACTTCATAAGTAATTTTTTCCAAGATTGTAAATAAATTTGTATATTTCAGATTTGTCGAATTATTAATTGGCATTGCAATTCTGGGCTTTTTAGCGTCCCAATATGGACGTTTAATAGCCAGAAAAATTGCTGAACAGAAAGCTAAAGGTGGCGGACGTTGACCTGTATGCCTTTACAGAGAAATCTAAAAGGAAACGCTTGAGTTTTCGAATCGTCAAAACTAGATATTCTTATGGGTATTAGAGATTTTGAGGAAAAGTTTTGAATTATCAAAAAACGAGGTCGTTGGGGACGGGGAATTTGCATGCCATTCGGGGAATTATTTCAGATTTTCAATTGCACTTTTGCTCAGCATATCAATACTGTCACGTCTGTATTGAGGTAAATTGTATTCGTTTCGTTGATTGTTTTGTATTGTATTGAGTTGTTAGCTGATGTACTTTTATTTGCTTGTATTTCAGTGCAATTACCAATTGCTAGATATAATTATTTCTAATATTAATTTATTCATTTTCAAACATAACGTAAAATCATTGTAAGTTTGAACTATAGTCGACATTGAGCACACACGATTTACCACAAGAAATTGGTAGCATTTACACCGGTAAGTAGGAGAACAAAACCGAGAACGATATACAACTACATTAAAGGATTCAAATTGATATGCAACTGAAAGGAATTCAAAACTATTAAAAGAATTCCAAATCGATAGAATTTCAAAAATAACAAGAGTGTCATAGTGATAGTAACAACTAACAATAACAATGTCATATTAGTGATAACTCAGTAGTGATGATAATGCAATCACATTCTAAAAATAATCCTTAATCATTATGGTAACGATACAATAAAGGCTTTAATAATGATACTATTCCTCATAACCGTAACCAACTTTCTCTTCTTTCGGGAATGTGACTGTACATTTTGGAAGCGCCATTTTCAGTTGCCTCAACATGCCGGCACGATTACTCACATACGGTAAAAAATAGAGATGTAATCGCCTCAACGCTTTCAGTCTTGCTAACCAATACATGACACCATCGGTGATCGCTGGATTCAGAACAATCTCCTGGAAATGAACTGATTCGTAGATGGCGCTCGCAATAAACAATGCTGACTGAACAGAAACAATAATGGAAAGTACCTTACCAGATTTCTAAGGGTATATGCAGGTCGTCCAAGGGCCAACTCTCTGATGGCTTCATCACCGAAATAGTCACAAAAATTCAGTTTCAAACTCTGAAGTTGACGGCATTCGCGGAAATATGCGAAACCTGCATTTGCAATTGCAGAATCACTCGCATCAACCTGAAACAATCAAATTTGCTTTGCCATTATTATTCCTCATTATGAAAACGAAATAATTTGAAAACGTTAATGACGATCGCAACAAAATTATTAGTGATGAGGATGAGTAATATTAGAGATCAACAAGTAATAAAGATAATCACAGTAGCGATGAACGTATCAAATTCAGACGGTTAAAAAAAGACCTGTGAAATGAAAGTATTCGGAGCGTTC